TAAAAAACTACTGTAAAGACTATGAATTGTAGTCGCCTAATGTCACATAGGGTCATGAAACACCAATGATTGAATTTTCCTACAATAGAATTAGTAAGCCCCACATTGCCATTTAATTGAACCTGCCTCGCAAAACGTGATCAGCAGTTTCGACCTTACAGAGAACAATGGGTAACAGGGCAGATGTGAATTCCCAGGTTAGTCGGGTTTCTCTTATATCACATTTTGAATTGAAGAGTCAATTAGGTAACTTTTATTTTTTATTTCGAAGAGAGGTTTCGAGACTAACCGTAAATTAGAAATATAAAAAGTGCTCATCCTATTTCGCTTAAGTTGATGAAAAAATGGTAGTTGAATTTTTCCACAACCATAGAAATAGACCTTACATTACCATTAAATTTCAAATAGCTTTGCTTTCTTAAAAGGCATGTTCATCCAGGTCGAAATAGAACGAAGTTACGAATTACACCTCTTCATCACATCAGCACCTCAAGCAGGACTCCAATCATGAGTGCAGAAATTATTTCGACACGTTAACCACTAAACTAGTTACGAGTTGCCTTAAGTAATAGGAGAGTTATGAAGCTCAGAGAAGGCCAGGCATTTTCCCATTTCATATTATGTGGTTGGGGTGCCAATCAAGCAAGGTTATATTTACTATTGCATTCGAATACATTATTTTTCGTTCGTAGGTAGGGTGAAAATATTTTTTGAGAAAGCAAAACTATGTAAAATGCAATCGAAATGTAATGCCTCGTTATACCATCATGGGCAAATCCAAAATTCCAGCCCTTCAACACTCTCAACAAAAGTGAACACATCTTATAAACTTTTAATTTGCAATTACAACTAACTACACTACTTATATTCATGGAAAGTAGGTTTTGAGACTACCAGCTAATATTGAATAAGAGTTAAAACCATTTTAGTTCGCTGACTTTTACTGAAATTCATTTCGACCGTGGTCGCGCTGCGTTATTCTAATTATTGCCAAAATTATACGCTGCATTGCTCCGGTTCGATTTTTGTTGGGTGTACTGCTGAGGCCCAGACTATGTCGAAAATGCAGTCTAGC